CTCTTCCTCTAAGTCTCCACCATGGAGAAAAATATTTTTTATATCAAACTGTTGTAAATTCTAATTAAGATTGGCTGCACAAGATAGTAGAATTTTGATTGTATTCATATTCGCGATAGGTGCAAAGGTTTCTTGATAGTTAACTCCTTATATCTGAGTAAAATTTTTAACCACTAATCTAGTTTTGTACATTTCAATGGACCCATCTGTTTTGTGTTTCACAATAAACAACCCATTTACAACCAACCATCTTTTTTCTCAGTAGAGGTGAAACGAGCTCCTAAGTTTCATTCTTTTTCAAAGTTTTCATTTCTTTAATAATGACTTACTTCCATTTGGGATCCCATAGAGTTTCTCTCCAATCTTCTAGAATAAATATAGAGGAACCAGATAAAATAAAGACTCTATAGGAGGGAGATGGAGAGTCATAAGAAACAAAATTAGATATACGATATTTAATGCAAGACTTGATTCCTCTAGATATATAATGTTTAGACATAGGATGTTTAATGCAATGAGTTTATCCAGATTATCAGATAAATAACAAAATTGAGGTAACTTATCATTATTTTTAAGAATTGAGGAAGATTTTTTATCTGGGTCAGACTGCGCAATTACTTTCTCTGCTTTAATTTTTCTTGAATGTCTTCAAGTTTGGTTTATCTAGGCGCCCCACATAATCTCTTTGAATGAAACATTTTTGAATTATAACTTTCTCATTGAATATAATTGTCAAAAGTTAATATATTAGGCATACAGACATTATCTCTTCTTTCTCACTCTCCTCCTGAAGAGGTGTTGGGTTTAGATTGAAATAAGGTTCAGAGTCCCTAAAAGTAACATCCGTACTCACAAAGTATCTTATAGATGGAGGATGATAATATTTGTAACATTTTTGAGTAGGAGAATATTCAACAAATACACATTTAAGGGCACTGGGTTCTAACTTGCTCACATTTTTAGCATGAACAAAACAAACACATCCAAATACTTTTGAAGGAATAGTATCTGAATTTTTTCTTTCCAAAAACTTTTGAAGGACTTCTAAAATCGAGAGCTCTCAAAGACATTATGTTGATAAGGTAAGTAGTTACAAGAATTGCATCTCCCTAGTAATTTTTGGGTACATTCATGGTGAACATAAGAGACCGAATTACCTCTAATATGTGTCTATTTTTTCTTTTAGTGACTCCATTTTGTTCACTAGTGTAGGCACAATTTATCTAATAGATTATCTCATTAGACTCTAAGTAGGCAGGAAATCCACCATGCATATGTTTTGTACCGTTGTCTATTCTTAGAATCTTAACTTTAGTATCAAATTGTGTACATATCATTTTATGAAATGATTTAAAGCATGAGAACACATCATTTTTTGCCTTCAATAAATAAATCCATATTAATCTAGTACAACATTTAATGAAAATAATAAATCATCAATGACCAGATAAAGGAATATTTTGAGTAGGTTCTCAAACATCAGAGTGAATGGTCATAAAAGAGATATGACTTCTGTAGTTACTCACATGATAGGAACTCTTTCTATATTTAGTTAGCTTACATGCATTACAAATTAATGAATTTATGAAATTTTTTTAAAATAAACTGAGATATAATTTTTTTAGAGTAAAGAAAGAAGGATGTTGCAATTTTCGATGCAACTGTATGATTTCCTATTTGACCTCTGTATTTTCGAAGACAGCTTGATTCTCAATTACAATTTAATTTCTATTCAAGATATATAAGTCATCCTGTAGTTTATTAGTGTTAATCATCTTCCCTATTTGAAGATCTTGAATGATACAATAATCAGAAAAAAATTTAATTATATAGTTGAGATCTCTAGTGATGGTACTAATGGATAAGAGACTATTAAAAAAATTAGACACATGAAGAATTAAAGACAGAGTAATGATTGTAGTACTATTAATGGAACATGTTCTAGATACTAGAGTGTATAATCTATCTACTACACAAACATTTTCCCGTTTAGTATAAGGAAAATAAGTTAGGAAGTCTTTAAAAAAGCATGTCATGTGTTTGTTATCTCTAGAGTTTATAATCCAAGTATCAAAATTAGAAATAGCAGGGAGATAAATAATATATGATTTTACCATTTCTGACATACCAATAGTTGATGAATGATTAAATTGAGATATGATGCGCTTTAGGTTTTGAATCTCCTCATTTGAAAAATCTTGAATAGTTGATGAAAGTTTTTTCGAAGTAGGAACAATTAATTTCTTTACTCATTTAATTATTTAAAGTAACTAGATATAAGAAAAGAACAATACCCAGTAACGAAGAACGAACCTTCTAATAAGCACCAACAGATGCCAAAAAAGACACTGCAAACTAGAACTAGATATGTCTGACAAGGCGGCGGTTCGGCTCGGCTCAGCTCGGCTTGACTCAAGTGCGACAGACCAGATCGGGACTGCTCGGTGCACAGAGTGGTCAGATTAGTCATCTCCATGCGCGGTGAGATGCAGCGAAATGCTCATATCGTCGTAGAGCGTGACAATTGCTTGACAAACAGTTCTGAGAGGCGCGATTAGGCTCGGATCACGTGCGATAAGGCTTGATTTGTCCAATCCAAACTTTCTGGCGGCTGTGCGATATGATTTGAGCCAAATAGAGATTTCTAGCAGTGCGTGTGGCTCACACGTTTCTGCTGTTGGTGGTGTGTGTGGCTCACACTCGCGCAGAATTGTTACCAAATTCGGGGAGTAGGCCGACAGTGAGGTTGTGACTCCGTCTGAATTGGTGGTGAGAGTAGATCTTGATAGTTGATTACCAATTCAGCCTATTGTGCTATTTTAGGGTTTGAAAAAAATTATAAAATTAGAATCCTAAAATAACCTTATTTTGCATCTGATACCATGTAGATTTTTGGAGAAAAAATATATATTTTTTTTATTTTTAATACTCTTTATGGTGTTACACCTATAATCTATATAAGGAATAATTTCTAGTTTAATAGAATTATAATTACATGAGATTAATGAAAAAATAGAATTCTAATTAATGAGATATCCTACTCAACATTGTATTCTACTCAACAATCTCTAAAATTATGCAATAGACAGTAGCAACCCTTAAATCAAACCATGTATCTTAGCTACAATAAGCAATTAGACACCTAGCAGAAAAGGCAACACTCCATAAAGCTTTATTCTTGTTACTTCTTTATACAATTACTGAAATGGGCAGCAAAGAGCCCCTCTAAAGTGGATGTTAGAATGTAAATAACGAAGTCGGCTCTTTCCTATGAACTTAAATATTGGCATAATTACTCATCCAATCAACAATTGAGAATTCTTTTTTTTTCAATAAAAAGTTGAGAAGTAACACATGAATATATTGGGCAAGATATGCAAGATGTTGATTATTGTCTTGAATAAACTTCTAGTTTTTAGCTTTGTTGTGCGAGAATATGGGATATATCTTCCTCCGTAGTATTTCCTTACATAAATTTTCTTATGTTCTGCTAGTTTCTTGTTAGTACACACTTAGCTCTTCCCTTTGTTGAGACGATGAACCTATAAAATATCCATAATTTTTTTTTCTTTTTTGATAACACATGTTTGTTGTTTTTTCAACATATAATAGAGATGATATTTCCTTCAACATAGTACACAGAGTCAGGTTAGTTTAACAAAAGAAAAAAGAAAAAAGCAAAAAAATGGTCAACCTATCTAAACAAGAAAAAATCAACTTGTTCCAAACACTAGACAAAATTCATAGTCGTAGGTCTTGGGCAGATTCTTTGCCAGTGGTTTGCACCAACATCCCACATGCTATCAGTCACTGGCATGTGAGACTCACACACTATTTGGACTGGACTCCACAAACAAATTTGGCATGGCTTGAGAAAGCCTGGTGACTTTTTTTTTGTTCTTGTGTGACATGTTCTTGTCCAGTTCAATTTTTGTATATCTCTTCGATT